TGAAAAAGCATGGTGATGGCAATAAATGCATTAATGAATCCCCAAAATCTACAGAATACATTTAATTTAAGGGGAGCAGTTACTGAGAAGTATATAATGAGAACTGCTACCAATGGTGGCCTATTTAGTTTATTAAGAAATACATATTTTTAGCTATTCATTCGCAGAAGTGATCTATCTAAGTTCTATTCATATTCTTGACGGGAAGAGTTAGTATACAATAGGCTTTAAGGCGAGACACCCCAGGTGAATAGGGTAATTTTTTTAACTTAAAGATATCAGCTAAAATTTCTCCAGTTAATTACTTACAATATGGCAATTGTTTTTTGTATTACAAGTTTTCTGAAATAGCATGTTTAAATATGCAAATGAACCATTATCTCATGAAATATGCGCACATTTTAACACATTTCAGGAACCGAAATCTGAACTTTGGATAAAGCCAGGATCAAAATTATTGTTTCATTTTGTAGTTATATTAGTATCTAAGGCTTTTACAGAAGGGATTTTGGATATCTCTTTGTATCACTCCATAAATCAGAAAATACTGTCAACAGCCCTAAAATATCAATTTTCACCATGTTTTTAGGTATAAAATGTTATATAATTCAGGCTATGAATTATATATGACCAAACCCTTCTGTAAAAGCCTTCATAATATTGATAGGAATATAACTGGAAGGTTTAGTGTATGTAACTGCTACTGAAGTGGACATTTCGAACTCAGAGTAGGAGAAAAAACTCATTTTGAGAAAACGACCTTTAAAGATTGCAGTGTGACGCTAGCTAAACCCTCCTGTTATCTGGATGATAGCTTGCGCATCGACGCACTCCGTGAAGGTATTTCATGTTCGGGGTCATTTGTTTTTTGTATAACCTTGCTTTGTGCAAGTGACAATTGTTGTCGTCTTCTCTGTGAACGTTTTTTTCTCCGTTATTTTGCCATTTTCAGATTTAAATTTCTAGCGGAAAGCTAACCAGGAAGTGCTTTAGCACACCACGTGACGCATCTGAACGAATCACGTTGTCAGAAATTGACACCAGCCAATGAGATTTAGTTTCTTGGTTTAAGACCCCTTTGCACTTTCACGATTGCTTCATAGTTGTATTTATCATCTAAATTTGCCGAAACAAGTTTAATATTCTGAAAGCCAAGACTTTGTTTATTTGAAATCAGATGAAAACAAACTGTAACGGACCCTGCCGTGTTATCTTGATATTTCCGGCACAGACCCTTTCATACCGGCAATGCGCGATAGAAAGAACAGGAACTGCGACAGCATAAATATGCGAACACAAACCTACAGACTGCTGGAGAAGAGATATCACAGGGGGGGGTTGGGACACACACATTCCGATGGCCAATTAGTTTTAAACAAAGAGTAGGCTATATTCAACATATGGGTTGGGGCTGGTGAACGGTATGGTCAATGTTTGTAAACACTGTGACATTTTGACTTTATTTGATCATTTCAGTTAAAAACTAACATTCATATTTCATATTACTGTTTTGCCTGGCTGGACCTGTAATTTACAGGAAAGGAGTGCACGCTACTAAAGAGACACGCTACCATGGAAACCAAACAATGGTGTTGCTGTATTGAAGTCCGAGTGGAAACAGTCATATTCGGAGCGGCCGTTATGTTAGAATGAAACAGTCAGGTCGTGACTCACAAAAAAAAAGTGTTACTTCACTAACTGTAAGCTTGTCACTCAGAGTAACCTACACATTAGTACCAGACAAACTGTACATTGTGGTGATTGACATTATTCACCCACGGATCTATGGGTTGGGGTATTGTTCCGCACGGACATTTTAGTGAACCAGACCAGCTGTTTCCGCCGGTCTTCGCTTCCCAGGCATGAAGTTGTTTACAAGTGTGTTCAGATGCTAAATAAAAGTTTAGCTTGTACTTTTGATACCCCGCCTCCGACTCCCGTCTCTCGGCACCACAACATCCAGTTTACTGTATCGAAGTTGATTTCACATGAGCGATGTCGAACATTGAAAAGTCCTTATAAAATCTCTGTTATTAGATCAGTACTTTTCTTATATGACTATTATTGACTTGAACACTGAGAATGTATTTATTAACTTCAGACATTTGAAATATTTGAAATCAGATGAAAACAAACTGTAACGGACCCTGCCGTGTTATCTATGATTACTATGCCTTACTGTACATTCATAATTTCAGCCGGAGGTAGGTGGGAGGCGTTGCGGAGGAGCAGATTGCGAGTGAGGTGCCTGTTCTAAACGAACTATTCCAGCTGTTATAAAGCATTAAATAAAAAGTCATGAAAGAGATAAGGAGGAGAAAAGGTTTAAGGAAGTAAGCAAGGAATACAGAATGTTTCGTTACGTAACTTTGTTGAGAATGTGGCCATGTAATAAACGGGATAATTTGCAGCGACTTGGTCATTGTGGGGAAAAATAACACCCATCCTGATCGTTTCAATGAAGTTGAATACAGAATATTCATATTTGTCAGTGATTTCATGTCAATTCGGCGAACATAAACATCAATGATGATGATTAAATTAGGATTAAAAATCGGGAGAGCCGGCTCGTTCGTTTTTTTCGACTAAACAACATTATTTTGTTAAATAACAACATGGTGATGTTTTGTAAATGATTACATGTCTTATTTAGCACAGACTATGATCCTATCCGTGACATATGGATCTTAACAACAAAGAAGTTGATTTCACATGACTCCAGTGTGGAACCCCACTGCACCCCCTGGTGGATCAATGATCCATTGCAGCTGGCTTCACAATAATTAAATGTATTTATCACGGGGGCGGTATCAAGTCAGACTGGGGGCCGGCCGGCCATCACGGAACGTGCACGAACCAATCACGACCCTCGCGTTTTAAACTGTCCAAAATAAGACGCTCCATCTGTATCTTCACTTCTAAAAGGGGTAAATTAATAATCTTTTTTCTCAAAGCAATGATACACCTGTGAGTTGGATGTAGAAGAGTCAGAATCAATATAGATGTTTTTATTATAAAGTAAATTCAGATTGAACATAGTAAAACAATGTCAATTATATAGTTTCCGTCCAAAGAAACCCCATTACTTATAGTGAAAACCACCCTTGAATGATGGGATCGGAGACTAAAAGCTTTAGGAATCCAAACTATAACATATAATAAGTACCCTGTATCAAGATTGATGCAAAACAAGTGACATTTTACCTTTTTAGAGAGGTTTAGAAAGAAAAAAACACCTCTCGGGTCATTTGGGGTGTATTTGCCGTTTCTCTGGAACCCATTGGTCGATTTTGGTGATGGACACCTCTTTTTAACCGTTAGCGCCAATAGAATCGAGGCGAAGTTCCTAAATCCACCTACACATTACCATTGAGGAGTGAGAGTGATGCGCACGCAGTTTGCCCAAACCGAAAGCTACGTTACGCTCTGAAAACTGAAAACTAGGCTTATTGATCATAAATATGATGATGGATTATCAGTAATCATTTCAAAGTGACACAGAGACATTGGATTAACCTTCAGCAGCGTCTTTATGCGTTTATTGTCATTGAACACAACTTTTGATCAGAAAACAGCAAAGGTAAGACCTATTTGCCGATTTGGCTCCGTAAAGTAGAGTTGTGTGTTGTCTTTGCTGGCTTTCGCTGCTGCGAGCTTTGGTCGCTCAGTGATGATACATATACCATTGGAATCTGTGGAATCGCAGCTTTCATATGGTATCTAGTTTGTGCAGATCCGATGAAGTATACAATATTTCTACCGTGAGTTATGTGCTAAGTGCGTTAGCATTCTTTCGTTTAGTGCTAATTCAAAGGTTCGGCGTTAGACTTGTGTTTTGTTTCGGTAAAAATGGTTCACATCGTCAGGTACCCGTTAAGTGGGTATGACACATTCATAGTTTGTTAAATGTTAAGAAGCCCTCAGACGCTGTTTCTTGCAAGATGTTGTTAACAGGTTAAAGAACTGCTGAATAACGTTTGTTGTTTTCTGTTCCACTTGCTCTCAGACTACTCATGAAGAAGTTTAGAGAAATCTGACTCATGAGCTTTTAAGGAATGATCGGAATATCAGTGCCATTGTGACTTGTGGTCCCTGGCGGCTCTTATATTTGAATAGCTTTCACTGTGCTTTCAGGGTAGATTAGCAAAAAAATACCTTAAAGGTCCCGTGTCATGCTTTTCTGGTTATTACCCGTCCCCTTGTGTGTTATGAAGGGTTTTATGCATGTAAAGTAAACGGTCTGCAGAGTCACAAACCTTCAAAGTACACCCTGTAGCGAGTAAAACTCTAACACAGAAAAGACCTGTCTATGCTGCCCCAGAACGCCTCGTTGGAGATTTCTCTTTTTCCATTGTTTTCTTCCTGGGTACAGTGACGTGCCCATACCAAAATGGACCCATTGTCCTTGGAGCTCCGCACACACACATACTCTCTCAGTGGCGAAACTGTGACGCGCTGGGGGGGGGGTGCTAGTGGAGCCTCGCAGATGGGGGTGCTGCAGCCCCCTCAGCATCCCCCCCTTTCAGTGTCCATTCGCGATGTCTCGCAGACCCCACGCAGCGAGCAGGAAATGAACCCCGAGCCGTGCAACGTCCCGCCAACACCACAGCACCCAGACCCCACGCAGCATTCTCATCTGTTTGTCCTTACTGGTCATTTTCTGGTTGCTAACGCCATTGTAACACATAAACACTGATGTTCCGCTGTAGTGGTAGACTCATCAGAACAGAGTGGGCGAGCTGACCAATCAGAGCACAGTGGGCTCACAGGGAGGGGGGGGGGCAGGAGCTCCAACAAGCTGTTTAGGACAGAGTGAATACACATACTATACAGAGATGCTGTATGAGAAACCAATGTGATTTTGGAAAATTGCACAATATAAATCTATTCTAGTAGACCTCACCAATGGAATTATGATCAGTAGAAATGGCCATGACATGGGACCTTTAGCAATAACAAAAGTAGAATCTTGGGTGATAAAGTAAAAAGGATATACGAACCTCAGGGGCGGAGACTCTGGAGGCGCCACTCTCACTGTCTCCCTCTGAGAAAGAGCCTGACTCGTCGCTGGAGTTGTCACCACTGGCACCAAATCCCTGTTCACTTTTGATGTTGGTGCAACCCTGAGAGAAGAGCAGCTCTCCGCTGTGGGGGTTCCTCTGCGAGAGAGACAGTCCAGATGTGGAGCCTGAGTGTGGGGATGTGGAGAAGTCAAACTGGGGGAGGTTGAAAGGTGAGCTACCGCTGCCGGCGTCCTCTGGGTATGAGAAGGAGGACCGGGAGCTGGACGTTTGGGTGTGGGGCTCAGAGGGGGGGGGGGAGTGCGCTGATGTCTTGATGGGAACAGGGCAGCTGGAGGGGAGGCGGGACCGACCAGAAGAAGGAGCTTCTACCTGCATCAGGGTCGAGACCTTTTCTCTGAAATGATCGTCCATGTAGGAATTGGCCAACATCTGTTGCTCTCCAGCTGCTGAAGAGAAAATGACGCTGGCTCTGTCCAGCTCCCCCTCGTGTTGTGAGGAGGAGGCTTTGGAGACTGGTCTATCCATGTTCTTGCCAATGCCATCTGCATTCTTATGGTCCCCTCGACCCATATAATCCCTCTTATCCCTCTGCCTGTCCTTGACCAGATCCTTGTAGTGGTTGAGGGTCAGTCTGTTGGTGAGTAGCTGCTGGATGGTTGTGCTGGGCACGCCGCTGAGATCTAAGCCGCCTCTCTGGAGGTAGGAGCGCAAACAGGAAGAAGGTGAGCCTCGGCCCGGGGAGTGCTCAGCTGCTACTGGATCCCCTTCCACCTCCAGCTCCATCTCCAGCACCTCCTCGGTACACAACTCTGGGTTGCTACCACTCCTTTCATCCCCTTCTCCCTCAAACCCAAATGGTTCTTCTTTGATCCTGGAGGGGGTGAGAAGAGTTTGAGAAGCAGTGCTGTTGTCTCTGAGCTGTGAGCTCACAGGACTTACTGAGGTATGGTTGGAGTAATCACTGCCATGATGGTCTTCTCCATTGTGCTTGTTATCACTGATTTGGTACTGATAGTTCCTGTATTTAGGACATTGAGAACGGTCAGTGGGAAGGGACGCAGTGCTTGCTACGTGATTGGTCTGCTGCGTGTTCTCTGAAGAGTCATCCGAGCATATCGCTTCAGAAAAAACTGCATCGTCCGCCGTGATGTCTTCATCGTATTCCACCTTGCCATTGCTGGCGTGTTGGCTGTCATTCTGTAGCTGGGCTTGAAGGAACCGAAAGCAGGAGTCCTCCAAATTGTGAACACCCAGGAAGTCAGCGCACAGGATGACCTCATGGATGTTTTCCCGACTTATAACCAGCTTGGCTGTGTAGGCAAACTGAAGCAGCGGAGCGAAACCTTTAGCAGTCACCTGCAGAGGAGACAAGGGTGGAGATGTCAGTGCCTTAAATATACAATTTCAAGTGAGTCAATGTTAATTTATATCCAGCACAAGCATTGCGCAGTAGTGTAAACATTGTAACCAGTGCCAGTGCTAAAGTCCTGCTCCGCTGTGCGTCCTGTGTAGACTTGGCCATCGCAGACTGAGATTTTAATTCAGGCCTCAAGTTTGACTCCTTCCCAGGCCGCAAATCACCAGATGGTTAATTTTACGGGCCAACCTTATTGGTAGATGGAACGGGTTTGTTTGATAGAATTAACGCATGCCAGTCTAGTTATAAATGTGGCCTCTGTGTTCATCTGGGAGGAAAGTTATCCAGATTACAGATACAAACATTTGGGACTGACCAGTATTTACTCAATCTGAATACTGAGTTTTGAAGGTATGTGTGAACCCTCAAAAACTCTAGTAATACCCCAATCATAGCACACATGTCCAATGCTAGACTCACAGGCAACTTAGCCTACACTTTTGAAAAAGAGAATGAGACACATTTTACATTTTCAAATATGACCTTGTATTCAAGCCTCAATAATTTCAAAGTATCTGAACTTCACACTCACATATTGTTAGGACATCAAGGGCTGGTCATAATGCTCAGGCCTAAATCTAGCTTGTATCTAACTTGAATTAATTTACATCTTACAATATGACAATATATACACACCTTTTTCAAAGAGTCATTACTAATGACCATTAACTTTCAATCTTGCAAGAGAAAAGTGAAATGCAACTACATGTGTACGGAATGAATACATATTATCCTGCATGATTATGTCCACAATGATAATCACCATTATATTGATCAATATTGAGATCATGTTTATTTATCATTTGTATTCCTTTGTATAAGTGACAACATATTTGTATTGCTCTTCTACATTTAAATAAACAGAGCACTGCTTTCACTACCATGTTATGTTTGGTTCAGCTAATACACACATTTAACCTACATTTAGATTTTTAAAGTTAAATGCTCCAATCTTGATATGGGATCATAATTAGGAGGCTAGATTCAGATGATAGACCATCTCACACAATTAAATATGGCAGAAATTCACAGATAATTGTTTTCATTAAATTGACACTTTATTTCCAGGTGCACATGAAACACACAATTCCCTCTGGACAGAGAACAGCAGCGTCCTCAGTCCTGAAAATAAATGATGTAGAGGAGTGAGCGGACAGCAGACAGGACGTGGTAAATAAAGCCATGCTGAGAGACATACGGGGGGGGGGGTTTGTAGTGGAACAGGCCTGTGTGAGTGATCACTGTAAGGTGGAGTCACACAGACATATTAATCAATATGACAGATCTGGGGCACGGGGAACTGTTCCCTGATCAGCCGCGGTGCTGAATGGAAACAGCAGCAAAGTAACCACAACCACATTTATATTCATGCCTCAGAGTTTCCGTTAGAATTTTTTTGTTGCCGGCCAACATGTCCGTTAAAATTTAAATCTTCCGGACAAAATGAGAAAAGTGCCGGTCAAAGGTCTTCTTTGTTATTTATTGAGCTTTAAAACAAATTCATAACAACTCTATATTAAACAAACTAATTATAGTAGATTAACTACATTATTCAAAAGTGTACAGTAACTTTGGATAATAAATAATAACTAGAAAATGCATTTCCTGCAGAAAATGTGTGCGAATGCTGTAACTGTGAACAGTTGTGGCTGAATTTAGCTGAAAATGCAGAAAAAGCTGAATATGTTATTAGTTGAATGGTCTCTGTAGCTGCTTTTAGCTACAGAGACCAAGTCAGTGTGTTGCTGAACTTAGCGGAGAAATGCAGAAAAGTGAAATGATTTGAATCAAAATTGTTACAGCTCAAATGCATTGCAATGACTTTGTTGAAAACTTGAAAGTGAAATGTTAAACTGGAAGAGTAGGAAAAATAGTGAAGAAGCTTAATATTTAAAAGAAAAGGTTTAAAAAAGGTATAAACAACAACATGTCCTCAATGTCCTCAATGTCCTGAAATAGCTGAATAATGTAATAGTTGAATGGTTTCTGTAGCTGAAAGTAGGCTGAAGGAGTTACATATCAGATGTAAGTAGTAGTGAATGAATGTGTATTAAGAAGAGAAAAGAAAGTAAAAAGGCTTGGGAAAGCAGCGGAATATTTTGACTGCAAACTTTTAGACTAAAACCATACGTCACCAATAATGTCTAAAATATGTGGAACATGTTGAAGTCAGTATGAAGTCTCCATCAGACAGAAACGAATAGGCTGAGACAGTCTGTTAAAGTCCAGTCTATTTGTCAGTGTTTGTTTCTGTGCTGAGCACCTAATCATAACAAATAATCATAACACCTGTGTGAGCCCAGAGATCAAAGGTTTCAATCTGCCCAGCAACACCACGGTTACCAGCTGCAGCACTGAGTTCCATTAAGAATGCATTGAGGATTCTATCTGACCATTTTGCCACCTGTGAGCATCAGGGAACCCCAATGAACTGATATATGGTTTTTTGGGGGGTTTTGTGTGTGAAATGTGAAGATGGGAGCAGTTTGTCTAGAGTTTACTTCTCTCTGTTCTGAAGAAAGTTCCGAAATGTTTTAACATGGGAGTCTATTGGGAGCTAGGTGGACTTTTTGACAAGTTTTTGTCTTTTCATGCCCTCAAGAGGCATTTTGCTTAATATTTTTTCTTAATTTAATTACATTTTTCAACGTAGGAGAGGTTTTCCTACGTTTGTCATTGAAAATGATGTCCAAGGAGTGTAGGGTTTGGGAATTATGGCAGGTTTAAAACATTTTTTTGGCCAAATTTCAAGAACTCCTCCACTCTGTTTTGAGATCAAAGCACTTAACGAGCTGCTCAATACACACTAATGTTAAAATCTGAAGAAGGCCTCTTTACCAAGTTCCAAACTAAGTTAAATATCTCAAAAAGTGTAAAAGATATCAAAAATATTTTATAGCTGAAGGTCTTATGATCATTTTAAAGTTGGAATGAAGTCTCTAGCTGAAAGTATGTGGAAGGAGTAGCATTTGGCGCACGGTGTAGTTAAAAGAGGATTTGAAGGTTCCTCCCATTGAGTTCCATGTAAAGAAAATAGTTTAAAGGGCCCATGTCATGGCCATTTCCACTGATCATAATTCCATTGTTGAGGTCTACTAGAATAGATTTATATTGTGCAATTTTCCAAACTCACATTGGTTTCTCATACAGCATCTCTGTAAACTACGTGTATTCACTGAATTTCACTTTCTGCCTTTAACGGCTCGTTGTAGCTCCAATAGCTCCAGCCCCCACCCTCCCTGTGAGCACAGTGTGCTCTGATTGGTCGGGACGTTGTGAATCGCGCTGAGCTCCGTGGAGGTGTTGTTTCCTTGTTAGCGATACACAGCCAAACACAGCCAAACTCATCCTGAGCACACACAAAGTCACAGCCGGAGTAAAAACAATAAGTGTGGCTTGATATTGAGTAAGAAAAAGGTTGATAAACGCTGTGAGAATGGGTCTGCAGAGAGAATTTCGCCGCGATCCCAACTGTCTGTTATCAGCCTGCAGCCAGGGAGGAGAAATCAGCTGAGCTGCCTGCTCCCTGCACACAGATGTGTGTGTGAGGAAGTCCGTGGATTGGTCAATTTGGACCAATCAGCGGGGGCTTAACGTAACGGCTCCGCGGACGTAACGTAACGGCTCCACGGATTGGTCCATTTCGTTCCGGGTACGGCTTGACATCATGCCGTACCCGGAACGAAATGGAAGAATCAAATGGACAATGACGAATCTCCAACGAGGCGTTTTGGGGAGGTATTTTCTGTGTTAGAGTTTTACTCGCTACAGGGTGTACTTTGAGGGTTTGTGACTCTGCACACCGTTTACATGCATAAAAACCTTCATAACACACAAGGGGACGGGTAATAACCGGAAAAGCATGACATGGGCCCTTTAAAAAGCTGAATATTTCAAAAAGTATAAAATATTTTGAAAAAGTTGAAAGTTTCCCATCATGTGCTGAAAAGGCTGAATAGTTTGATATTTGAATGGTTTATGTAGCTGAAAGTATGCTGAAGTTATTCGACGGCAAAGTATTGGTTGAAATAAGAAGAATAAAGATTTGAAGAACTATAGTGGAATGCTGTGAACAGCATTCGCACTAATAATAATCTTTCCCTCCCTCTATACTGTGGTAGAAACCAACTACAACAAAATGAACATAGTTTACCATGATTTAATTGTAATACACGTTTCATAATGATGCCGAAGTAACAACATACTGATAACGGTTAGTAAAAACCATGAATTAATGCTTTGACAAGTGTGCAGACAAGACGGCAGGCGAAAAACCTTTTAAAATGCGTGTTTTCTGAATGGAGATCGGATCGATCAGGCTAAGCTAACGTTGTATCTGCTCCGTCCACACTCACAACAACATGATACAGACACAGATACAACACCGACTGTATTTGCCATGTTCCAGAGGTAGATAAACTAGCTAACCCCTAGATTCCACCGGGTCCGTCTGCGGCACGTTACGGGCGCGTTACGGCTGCGCCGCGGTGCTCACGGCGATCGCGGCGATCGCGGCCACTCTAGTCAATGGGTGCTATTCCACCACACGTGGCGCGTTACGGCTCAAAAGCGTCCCAGAAGCGTCCCAGAAGCATCCCAGAAGCAGCTCGGCGCAGGGCTCCTCTAAAATTAGGATCGAATCCTATTTTTGTCGCGGCACAGCCGTAACGTGAGGTCGGGCAGGCAGGAAGTGGAACGTTCAGAGCATATATATAGCATTTATATATATATATATATACACACACACAAACTAATTTTGCAGACCCTATCCCTCCGTAGTCTTTCAAGTAGGAGGAGAAATGCCAGCGTTCTCCTCCGGTTTACAGGCACTGTGTAAATTATATATATAGAATAATTATGATGATGAATGCATTTTTTTACCACTAAAATACAGCAACACATCTTTGATTCATGTCGTTTATAACTGGAATATTACAGTTATTATTAACTTTGTCTGTACAAAGTAGCCTGTCCAGGAAATATGCCCAAATCAACAAAAACTGCGAGCCAGCAGGCAAGACGCTCCGCTTCTGAAATGCTTCTGAAACGTGCCTGGTAGGGTATGACGCCGGAGGAGGCCGGAACAAAACCGCGGCGCCGCAGACGGACCCGGAGGAATCTAGGGGTAAGTGTGTTAGGTCTAACTTGAAGTGTGTGTTTTGCTCCGCCCACCGGTTCGTCAATGCGGGCGGAGCTGTGATCATGCAGAGCTGCGTGTCTCCGTCGACAGCAGCAGCTGATCTGCTCTCTGATCTCTCTCTCTCGCGTCCGATTAGACTTCACTCGCATTTATGTCCATATCGATCAGATCTAGCTAGTTCTAGCTAATGATATGACTGTCTGAGTATCAAAGGACACCTATAATCGTTGCTTGGCAACGGGGGTGTGGCGGCAAAAGTATAGTGCAGCATTATGCAGCATTAAGCATTTGTTTACATGAGGGGTCAAAATGTCCCCTTCAGGAGGATAAATCTCTTTCTCCACATTAAATGTCAGACATTAGAAAGGAAGTGACTGTGCATGTAGCGTATTGACTCTTCTTGTCTGTCACATAAGTGGCGCAACTGATGCGGTATTGCGCTAAGGGGAAATTATTTTTGACCGGAGAGATTTAGATTTGCCGGTCTTCAGCACATTTTACCGGTCATAGTCCGGTAATTACCGGCTAACGGAAACTCTGTCATGCCTTACATATGAGGCATTTGAGGAGAGAACTATAGAAAATGTGCACCCCCTCAGCCTTCACTGTGACAGCAGGCTTGTAAGACTATTCTGAACACATACCTTATGGAAATAGAAATGGAGAGTTGGACATTTTAATTGTCACTCATGGACAAAGCGCACAGTAAAGTTTGACTCTAGATTTCTAGAAAATACTGAAACTCTTAAGTGTCTTAAATTGTATTTATGTTAGCTGATTCTAGTCAAAAATCCATTCTTGTTCTACTGGTTTAAGCGGGGCATTTGATACCACTGACCATAATATCCTCTTGGACCCAGCAGAGACATGGGTGGGTATCAGTGGCACTGCTCTACAATGATTGTCTGCCTACTTAAAAGACTAGCGTCTTTGCATTGATGATGCCAGATCAGCTCCAAAGATGTTAGCTGTGGGGTGCCCCAAGGATCTGTACTGGGTCCAGTTCTCTTTTCCATTTCATTAAAACTTTGATTATTTTACCTTCTGTGTTATATAATGCAGTAAGTTGCTGGTTTGTAGTGTCTTGCCTTGTGCCCAGGAAGGGAAAAGGCACCTCTCTATTTGGCACTTATTCCCAAGCCAAGTCCCTACAGAATGTCCAATGCTGCCCAGGGAACATATTAAACTGTTATTCCTTGGAGATGTGCTGATAGGGCAAGGAGGAAAAGGTGTATTATGAGTACCCTAAAGAAAGCCCACAGCTAATGACCCTGTGTTACAAAATGTTATTTTCCCAGTCAAAGTTTGAGTGTCCCGTCACCATTTCTCTTCAAAATGACCTCAGAACCATCCCTGTGGAACTGCCTGTGTGTTCTGTGTTGTCTTTGTGGCCCTTTACCTTGTCTGGCAGGTTAATGATGGGCTCCACCTCTCCTGTCCCATTGTGCCCCAGCAGGGCCTGCAGGAAGTAGCGGCTGCTGGCGGCGAGCACGGCCCTGTGAGCACGGACCTCCCGGCCCTCCACCAGCACTGTGACATCACACAGGATGCCCTGCCGCCGCTGCTCCTCCAGGCTCAACAGCACATTGGCACAGTGGACCTTGGATTCATACACGTACAGGGGCGCTGCCGCCTCTCCATCCCGCTCCTCGTCTGCCGACATCACTCCCTCTAGCACCCTGCACAAAACAAAATAGAGGGTAAGAAGCTGCGGGAACAAAGTATTAGGTCTGCATAACATGAGGATATACTTACTGCATATAGCAATAAGCAATAACCTTGTTAAATATCCCAATAACAATTCAATTCAATGGTATTTAAAAACAAGTATTTAAAGTGTAAAGTTCTGCCTTTTTTTTATGGACATTTTATTTAATAATGAAACATTAACACAAATGAAAATATTAAAATAAAAGAATGATTTTGAAGTGCAGTTTTGTGGAGTCGTATATACGTTTTGTGAAGTCGGAAATAAGCCCAGTATGTTTTCTGCCTCTTCCTGGACTGTTTATTATTAATAATTAATACAAAATTAATCCACAAATTAAAAATTAAATAAAAAATAAAAAAAGACAATCATAATTATTTTGTATTATTAACAAATAATAGATACATCATTAATTATCATAACTGCATTAATTGTCATTAATAATGTAATGTGGTCCAACACCTACAGTATTAGTGTGTTGGAAATGCATAGTAAATTATCTTTAAATGTAGCAATGTTATGGTAACCTGAACACCTCACATATATTTCAACAGCAGAAAGACACAAGAGGAATTTTGCAGGGTTATTGTAGTGAATTGTGATAAACTGTAAGATATGTGTATAAGGTTATCTGACTACACAAACATATATGTACAGATGGATATTAAAAAGCATATATAGATAGAAAGGAGCTTCTCATATGGTTGCAGGCAGGTCTGTCCATTGTGATTAATTTCACTGCCTTAGTACATAAGCCCCAACACAGACAGCTGAGCGTGCAGTCTGTCTGTCTCACAGCCCTGAGCCGTGTGTGTGTGTGTGTGTGTGTGTGTGTGTGTGTGTGTGTGTGTGTGTGTGTGTGTGTGTGTGTGTGTGTGTGTGTGTGTGTGTGTGTGTGTGTGTGTGTGTGTGTGTGTGTGTGTGTGTGTGTGTGTGTGTGTGTGTGTGTGTGTGTGTGTGTGTGTGTCAGCAGCCAGAGAGGACGCTGCTTTCTGCTGACTCATGGCTTCTGAATAGGCAGAGCTTGCTGAAGCAGTGTTCTGGCTTTCCTCCCTGTGGCCCACGGGCCAATCATCTGAAAACAGTAGCTGATCTCCCACCCCCCCGCTTCAGGAGCGCTGCAGGCTCTCTCTGGCTTTTCATGATGCCTGCACATTGTTCTCTAACACTATTTACCCACTGCACGTTCATTTAGCTGCCTGCTGAAAGTAACAGCTAAAGAAAGGAGGAAAAGGCACACTGTTGGCTATAGAAACTTCACTATTACTATTTCTATTCTGCTATTAATAGAAATATTAACCCTATTAACCGTTTTTGGTACCAGGTATTTCATTTCCTACTGCAGTTGTGAGGACAGAAATAAGCTAACGTATAGAAACTATTCTTCAATTCAGTCTTTAGGGCCAGAGCGAATAGAACTCTGTTACTCTCATTATTCACAGTACTTTTCTAGAATTTTAAAGAGGCCCTACTATGCCTTGTTGGGGGTTTTCCCTTTCCCTTTCCCTTTCCCTTTCCCGTAGTGAGTTAGGTTTGTGTGCATGTAAATGGTCTGCAAAGGCTAACATCCCTGTGTTCCTTTCAGAAGGAGTTTCTCTACCCCACCCTGCCTGAAATGCCTCCATTGGACTCCTTTGTTTACTTCCGTAAAATAGTGACATCACTACATAACATTTGCGCTTCTATTGGCTAGCGCTCCAAGACATTGTACGTGACTGGGCTCTGGTTTCAGACAGAGGGTGAAAAGAGGTGCTGCAGCACAGGCAGTATGATAAAAATAAAGAGCTTTTTGAACATTAAATCATGGAGACATGTCCCAGTAGAGACACTACATACTGATATGACCCTGAAAATGAGCATAGTAGAGCCCCTTTAAAAAGCAGCTCCCGATCGGACCAAAAATACAGATTTTGGCACAAATACGGTTGCAAGTTTGCCTTCTGCCGCACTGCCGAGGTGTCCTTGAGCAAGGCACCAAACCCCAATTTCTCCCTGGCTCCATAACACTGGTAGCCGCTTTCACTCTGCCACCTCTTCATGATTGCATGTCTATAGTTCCTGTTTTTGCATGTGAGTGTATTTCGGGCCTATGTGTGTAATTGTAAAATAACAACAGAGTAAAGACTGAATTTGGGGATTCATAAAGGTGATCTGAATCTTAAAACCAGGTCGGCTAAGTCGTCCCTAAATGATTGATCATTACTATTTTGCACACCGATAGTCCCTTAACGTCTCAGGCTAATGCTAATTACATAATCTCCAGCAACTACAGCTAGCAGGGTTAAGTATGAGCCAAGGTCAGTGGCTCTGTATTAGCATCGTTTTAGGTCATAACAGTATTTAGTAAATCCACAGATACTTTCACAGATTTAGATTGCGGTTGTTTGTTTGTTGTCATAGACTTTGTGTATTAATCTAGTTAGTTCATTCTGAATTCAAGAAATGTGTTGTTCAAGGTTCAAGGTTCAAGGTTCTTTATTTGTCATACGAACATAGCTACAGTGTAGTTTTGCCGATGAAAATCTTGTGTCACAGGCTTCTCCAACAGAGCAACACAAAACACAGATAAACTGAAAAAATATAGTGCAAGTAAATAGTAAATAATAATACAAAAAGAAAAATAGTTTTAAAAAAGTGAAATAGTGAAATAGTGCAATAAGAGTCTATATGCAAGTTATTGAAATAGGATATATAGGTAAATCGATAAATAATTTAAAAATAATTTTTAAGTAGCAGCCAGATGAATATTAGGGATGTTGTTTCAACTGATCAGGTGTTTAACAGATTTTGCTTCAACAGTTCAGGTGTTTAACAGTCTTATTGCCTGTGGGATGAAACTGTCTCTGAGTCTGGTGGTTTTAGTCAGGATGCTGCGGTAACGCCTGCCAGGCGGCAGCAGACAGAACAGTTTGTGGCTGGGGTGATGGGGGTCTTTTATAATCCGGAGGGATTTCTTCTTGAGCCGCTGGGAGTAAAGGTAACTAACTGGATGGCAGCTCCGTCCTGGTGATGTTCTGTGCAGTTTTCACCACCCTCTGTAAAGCCTTATGATTGAGGGCGGTGCAGCTGCCGTACCAGGCCGTGATGCAGCCAGTCACAGGGTTCTTACACCTTTTCCAAAGTCAAATTCAAGCACTTTTCAAGCATTTTCAAGGTGCATTTTCAAGCTTTTCAAGCATTTTCCAGCTGTTGTAAATTACATATTTATATACACATACTTATACTCAAATGATTATTTCCCTACCGCACATTAAATCAGATGTTCTTTATGCTATAAAGTATAAACAACCAAACGTGTGTTTCATAATAGCATTCTACATGAGGATGAAAAATTAAAGAAAAGAAAACTAAGTTTAATATTTCAAAATGAGTGACCCATCTGTACGTAGACTGGGCATCCCATATAACCTGGCTGAGCCAATATAAAACAATCAGCCAAATAACTTTTCAATACATTATTGATTACTATTTTTTAGGTACTTTTAGGTTGGCAGTAAACATAAGTCAGGCGTAAATGGTGTACTTTTACTCCACTACATGTATTTAATACCTTTAGTTACTTCACAGATCTGGATTAATGATGTGAAATATAATCAAGTGTTAAATCAGACTTTAGTTCCACCTGGAGTAAATTCACAAGCTACCCTGCAGTATACAAAGTCATTCAAACTAGCTGCACCTTTACCAGCTTTGAGAACACTTTCATGATCAATCATTATAAAACATATCATATATATTATTCTGAAATGGACCAATCTGCACAATGACTACTTTTACTGTCGCTACTTTAACTATATTTTGATGAGAATACTTTTATACTTTTACTTGAGGAACATTTTGAATGCAGGACTTTTACTCTAACAGAGTATTCCTACACTCTGGTACTTCTACTTTTACTCAAGTACAAGACCCGAGTACTTCTACTTTTACTCAAGTACAAGATCTGAGTACTTCTACTTTTTACTTCAGTAGAAGCTGCTGGGAGTCCCAGCAGCTTCTACTGAAGCCAGTCCCCAACTCCGGGGACTTCCGGCCGGGGACTCCGGGTGGCAGTATACGCCGTGAAGTTGTTTGCGGCCTGCCAGTAAACCCAAAGCAGAAGAAGACGAAGTGACGTCAGCGGCTCATTTGCGTAATCTTCCCTCAGGGAATTTATTCCGGTGTGAACGCGATCTGTACTAAATGCCCTGGGGTAACAAGTGCCGGGGCACTGAGTGCCGGCACTAAATACGGCAAAGTACTTGGTGTGAACGTGCCTAATGTGTCTTCGGGTCAATGTGACTGATTTCGATAGAGCAAGTCACATTTGGTTTAGGCACGAAACATACTACCAGTAGAAATACATTGCTTTTAAAATCGCTCTGTGTCGAATCAACAGATTATATTTCGTGACTATAACACGAAATGCCGTGAGACTGGGTTGAATTACAACAGTAAGTGCTTCATCCTCTGAACACCACAGGATGGCGACTGTAACGCACATAACATAGGTACGCTCCTCTGAAATGATTGTCCCCTGCAATTATTATTATCCCTCATCGAGTTCGCTATTCAGCTTCCTAACGTTAGCTTAAACAAACGTAACATGCAACGTTAGCCTAATCTAAAATGCTCTACTACGGCGTACCTTTCATGTGGCTCGTCAGCGCAGACTCTCGCATCGTTATTTTTTGCAAACTTTGCAGGAGGCTACTCGTGGGATTGACCCTCGTCTTAGCCATGGCTTGTATTCGTCTTCTGCTAGCCAACGCTCGTTGAAACTGCAACCTCCTGGCATACTGTCATCTATCACTCTCATCAGAATGCCCAGGTCACACACACGTAACAAAAACACTCGCAGGTCACGCGCATAGCGCGGGAAGGCCGGAGTGGAGCTGTTTTATGTAAAAGCGAAGCAATTAAGCACGCTCCGACTTCTTTATTTTCTTTTAATCTAAAAATCGAAGTAAAGCATTTACAATTTCAAGCACT